ACGGAAGTTCCTTCTAAACTTCCTTTGGCCAAGTTTGTACCAATGGTAAACACATTGCATGTTACAGTTATGCCAATGTTATAAAGTTTTTGTTACCATAGTTATACACATGTCATACCATGTTTGGGCATATTTGGGCTCAGATGTCATACCCAATTTGCATAAAATGTGTAAAATTTGTATGAAAGTGGTATGAAATTGGCATGAAGCCTGGCCCGTAAAATTTGTATAAATCCAGCCAATCCCAACGGCAGGGCCAGATTTCATACCAGTTGTTGCATCCCCGTATTTATGCCCATTTCATACCAATTTTCATACGAATTGTCATGCAAACTTTAAATCAATTTTATGCAACATTCTTACCATTGGGGTATGGCGTTTGGGCCCACGTATGGTATGACATGTGTAAAAGTGGTAAACTAATGTAAAACATTGGCATAAATGTAGCGTACAATAAGTTTAACATTGGTATAAAATTGGTATCAATTTGGTTTAAGCATTCGTGTCAAATCAAATTGGTCTGAAATGGGTACTGATTTGGCCTAAAGAGTTCTTGTTCGAGGCAGGCCCTCGTGACACTTCTTGCAATTTGACCCATCCAACAATCAGTGTTCATCATACAATTGGCCACTTGACGCAACCCAACTGCAAATCACAACATGACTGGTTGTGCAATGTAGCCGCATGGCCTGATGTGTGTCATGGTTGAAAGCATGACATGCTAGATCAGTGTAGCCACACTGGCTTGACACTTCACAACGCACTGACCATGATTGAACTGATTTTTCAGTCATGATGTTTCCTGATGTAGCCGAAAGGCTTGGCGCGCTGAAATCATAATCGGTCAAGCGACAGCTTGCCTGGAGTACTGTTGGTACTGGTAACATTCGTTTGGTTGCAAGCTGCGCAGAGCTACATTTTGGACCCAGTCATATCTGTCTATGGCTGTGTTGTCAGACGCAAGCTCATTCAGATTGGTGGGCGCCAGACATTATGTATGGCATCTTGATCGCCTTGCAGATGGTGCGTGTGGCAATCAACTGGCCTTGGTTCACCTCAATGATGTGGCGCACAGTGGCTTCCTTCGCAAGGCCAGCGCAGGCTATGACACACACCGCGCAGTTCTTTTTGGCTTCGCACTACAGTCACAAAAGGGTCCATGTTTACCAGCCGTTGGAATCAGTCCAGACATACCACAGGGTGGTGATCCCCTTGAGAAACATGTTTCTGTTTCTTTGGCATGGCATGGGGCTGTCTACAGTTGCTGTGTGTAGCTGCAATGGCTGCTGGGCGATGAAAATAATCATGCAACCATGTCACAACTCATGCCTGCAAGTTAAGTCGCATCACATTTGCAGTGTGTTTCCACAAGCTGTATGTCATATCTTTGTGCTTACATGTGCGGCCACAGGTGGTGTGACAATGCCAGGTGTAGCCAATAGGCCTGCCACCAAGGTACGGAAACTATTTGAAGGATAGCCGAGGATTAGAAAGATATTTCTAATATAACAGACAGAGACTTGAAATATATTAGAAAGTGCAGATTTCGTGGCAGGGGCAGTGTTCCAGCATCTTGTCTGAGCGCGCGGAAACATAGAGTTTGCGAAAAACGTGGCAGGGCGCATGAAGTTGCTGCCGAAGATGTGTGAAAGGTACCTCTGCCGCGGCGCCTGTTCGGGACGGTCTTGGGACGGTCTCGGACGGGGGCGCGACAGTTTCGCATGGTCGAGTAAGATTTCGTCGCAGGCGCAGCGCTTTCGCAAGGCCAGGTGCAGGTTTTGTGGCAGGCGCAGCACTTTCGCAAGGCTGGGCGCAGATTTCGTGGCAGGCGCGGTACTTTCACAAGGTCAAGTACAGATTTTGTGGCAGGCGCAGTATTTTGTGATCGAAGGTACGATTCCACTCTTCCAGCCTCGAAAATCGCAAAAAATTAAGTACAAAAGTACTACCCGAAGAGTTAAGTACAAAAGTAGTATTCGAAGTACACTTTTCCAGCTGCAGCTCGAAAATCGAGATGGCTAGCCAGATAGACAGATAGATAGATGACTGGGATAGCGATAGAAAGTTAGATAGCCAGCCAGATAGACAGATAGTAGATAGACAGGACAGATAGATAGGTAATAGATGAGCAGGTAGATGATGGCCGCAAATATTGGATGACAGCTGCCAGCTGAGTTGGCTTGCGAGGTCTGCGCACAATTGCTTTGTGTTGGTTGAGGCACTTGCCTCCATTCTTCACTGAACATTGCCTGGCCTGGGTCAGTGCCTGTCTGAGTTCTTTGGCAGCATCATTTCTTTTGGACATTATCTCTGAGGTTTATGGATGCATTCTTGGAAATCTTGGAGCCTGCCACGGTTGCCCTCATCTTGATGAAGGATTCTTGGAGCAAGAACTCTGGAATTGCAATCCATCTGTAGTCAGCATCCATTTCCACTGACTTTCAATTTTGGATCTCCATGCTGTGAGATGGCTGCTGGAGGACTGGTGCAAAGCCTGTCATGCACAAATGCATAACTGCATGTGTGGGCGCGCAAAAGCAACCCATGAAGCCTGTGGGCTTGACTTGCAGCGCACTCTTTCCTCAGCGTGTGTTGCAGACACAGTAGTAGCTATGTGGCTGATATTACATGGCAGAGGCGCAGGCTCATGCATAAGAAGCTGCGCAATCAGTGGTTGCATGCATTCTCTGCTCTGGGTGATTGAAAAATCCAGCCTTGCGGTGCCACGGACGCAGCCTCCTTTGACTGGCAAACGGGAAAGGCTTCGGAAGTGGTCCTTGTCCTTCAAAAGCTGGTGGGTGTTCTCTGGGGCGCAAGGATGGGTAACAGGGCCAGGAATCTCATCAGGCTCCATTAATGGCTTCTTCATGGGCTTGGCGCCTTCAATTTGTACGGCTTGCCTCTTCGCCACGTTTGGCGCGGGCTGACTTTGCAGCAGGCTTTTTGCAAATGGCTTTATTTGGCACGCTCTACACCAAATGGAATATCAATCTTGTGGCAGCTGAGCCAAGTCATGAATGCGCCCTATTCAATGCTTGCAAAATACGGTGACCATAATGCGGCGAGCCTTGTCCTGTCTGAGCAGCGCCCAAACTGCTCTGCGCCTGGCGGGTGAAAATCTTATGGATGGTTGGATGGACTGCGATTTCAGCAGGTGGCCCTGGTGGGTCTCATCCATGGTAGCCTGGATCTTGTCCTTGAGGCTGGCGCTTAGCACCATGGTGGCAATTGGCCACGGAATGGCAGCGCTGTCAGGTACAAACAATAGTGTGTACATGCTCTTCGTAAAAGATGTGCTTGCGTGCTGGTTCGCGTTCCAAACAGTTACTTTGGTTCAACGCGTAGGTCCGTGATTGAAAACATTTTCAACTTTGGCATGTGATATGTTTTGCAATGCAGCAGCAGTTACTAAGGCAATGAGCTAACAGCTTGGCCAGTCAAGGCATGATAATGGATGTGGAATGCAAACGCATGCGAGGTTAGCCATGTGTGTATATATATATATATGGACTAGCAAATTATTGGTAGCCAAAACAGGCTTGACCAAATCATGAGAAATCATCGTGTAGGCTGTGTCAAGTCATGTGACGCCAAAGCTTCAACAATTCTTTGGCGGCCAAATGCCAGTGGCAGTGGAATGCCAATGCGTGCATGGGTAGCCATATCTGGCCAGGCAATTAAAGGCTTCAACAACCATTGCGGGCCCAATTGATGAGTCATACCAGTACCTTTGACTGGCGACGCATGAGCTTTTGTATCGTGAGCTCTTATGGCTTGCCCCTTGTAGTAAATGCACACGCATAGCGCTTAGTTGTATAATGATGAGCAGCCTTGCCAGAACCCATTTGTATATATATATATTCTCTCGAAATGCTCTGGTGAGTCTAAGCAATTGTTGCCAACAAGGCTTGTTTTTTGCTAACTACAAAGCTAACCCCTGGCTATCCCCTGGCTAACCCCTGGCTAACCACTTGGCTAACCAACTAACTTAAGCCCTTAGCTATCTTATATCTTTGCCCCTATGTCCTACTAACTCTAACAAACCCCCAGCGCATCCCAGTTGCGGTCCGAAATTCGTTGTTTTTTTGCGCGTTTCGGACTTCAAAAAGCGTTCTGGCATCATATTCGGCAGTCCCTTTGATTCCCAACGTGTGGTTTACCTGCGTCGCGGAGTTCGTGGAGGACTCGCGAAAGGGCGAGGCGGAAGGCCATTCTTGGAGCAAGGAATAGTGGGCAGAGAGAAAGAAAGAAACCCAGCAAGACAGGTTGACCGAAAAACGAGAAAGACAAAGACAGAACAACAGAAAGACAGAAAGGAAGGAAGGAGCGAAGGAAAGAAGGCAGAAAGACAGGAAGGAAGGAAGGAAGGAAGGAAGGAAGGAAGGAAGGAAGGAAGGAAGGAAGGAGGGGAGCAAAGAAAGAGAGGAGGAAACACCGCAGGACAGAAAGTCAGAAATCAATTAACACAGAAAGACAGAAGGACACAAAGGCAAGAAGAAAGAAGGACACAAAGACAAGAAGAAAGAAGGACAGAAAGACAAGGACAAAGAAGGGGAGAAGGAAGGAAGGAGGGAAGGAAAGAAAGAAATAAGGAAATAAAGAACGACTGACATATCACACATGAAGAAACACCTGCATAAATTAATAGATAAAGAAAAAGGTGCACAACATATAAATAACGATAGCTGAAGGACGCACAGAGGAGAGGAGGCCGTGGCTAGGGCGCAAGTTTTCATGGCATCGCATGTTTGCAGCGCGCCGCCGCCGGTCTACTTTGCAAATATACTTGCCTGGCGGAGTTCTTCTTGCTGCTTGGCCTAGAATTTGATGTTCACCGTCAAAGCGCCCGGAAGCCTTCGTGCGCATTCTGCGAGAGCACAGACGATTTAGCCGATGACACCGTTTCAACGGGACGGAGGCCCGAGCATTTTTTGGAGAGGCATGTTGCGCGCGCCGATTCCCTGTTCTGAAGTCAAACGCTTTCCCGTTCGCGAGCGCAGGCCAGCCGCGCGCGCCGGGGCCTCAGCCTGCGATGGGACGCGAGATGCGAGGCGCTTCGGATGAACAACGTCTTGAAGCGACAGGCCGCGTCTCACTGCGACACTCGCTGCTTAGCCTTACAAAAGGGCCCTGCAGTGCCGGAATAGTTTCAACATTCCTTCGCAGAAGGCAACCCTCCGTTTGATTACGCGGAAAGCCGAAACAAAGACTGAGCTTCACCATTACAATGCTCTGGGCACGGGTGAAAGGGCGCCTCGCGCCAATTCAGGTTAGGCGCTGACGGCAGATAATTACTTCCACACGCCAGCAACGGACGATGTCTTGCGCGATAGAGTGCCAACCAGGCCTGCGCGCTATCTCGGGCCAAACATGAAAGAAATTGAGATCCTTGTCCGGGAGCAAAAGGCAGCTGATGACACCTGCAGTACAACGCGATCTTTGCGTCTTTTGCGTGCCAAGCGCCAACCGGGCGGCGGATTGTCCTTTTCGTCATCTTTGGTGTTTCCATCGTGCGCAATTTGGAGCAGTTCAGCTATTTGTGGAGGGCAACGCAAATCAGAGATGTTCAGGCACCAGCCCGGGATGTGTGAGGTTTTGTGGCCTGTTTGCTCTTAGGGTGCGTGGAAGGGGCGGAAGACGCCTGGTCTTCTTTGCGTTTTGATGCCTTTCTAACTGCGGGCTTGTCCTGGAAACTGAAATTTGTCCTTCGTGCCAGGCTGGAAAACTTGCGGGAGGATCGAGGGCTAGTCAATATAGCTTTGAAGGAACAGGGGACGGAATGAAACGACTTATTGATTTTTCGTGGACGGAGCCGGGGTTACTCATGGGTGGCAGCGGGATTGACAGTAGGTGTCTTGTTCACAGTAGGATTCACATGAATACATGAATATGAACAAGACGTGAACAATAAACGGCGTCAGATGGCTCAGGCGCTCGGCGGAGGCCACGTCCAGCTGGGCTTCTTTCGGCGCATGGCCATCAAACGCTTTTGTGTCTGACAGTCGGCGTGTTGGCCGTGTTAACCTGTTGGCTTGCTTCGCTGATTGTCCAAGTTCACGCTCTTTCTCTTTTTTCCCTTTACTTTTGTATTTCTATGTTTTCCTTTTTTGTCCATTTCTCCCGATCCTTTTTGTCTCTCTCTTTCTCTCTCTGCCTTCTTCTCGTTCTCTCATTCTTCTCTTTCTTTTGTTTCCCTGTTTGTCTCTTTTCTTTTTGTCTCTTTGCTTCTTTCTCTCTTCTTCTCGTTCTCTCTTTCTTGTCTTCTCCTGAACCTCTCTTTCTTTCTTTATTTCTTTCCTTCTTTTCTTTTCTTCTTTTCTTTTCTTTCTTTCTTTTCTTTTCTTTTCTTTTCTTTTCTTTCTTGCTTTCTTTCTTTCTTTCTTTCTTTTCTTTCTCTCTCTCTCTCTCGTCTCTCTCTTCTCTTTCTTCTCTCTCTCTTCCTTGAAAGTATTCAAGAAAGCTTCGGCGAGCGCCCAATTGAAGCTAGGCAACCTCCCTGAAATGTACGACAACAGTTGTTTTGTAACATGTTGTTTTGCAAAAAATTGTTGCGACGATTGTTTTTGCCTAGCCTTATTTTCAAAACAATTGTTGCGACAGTTGTTTTGTACAACTTTGTTTTCGAACAATTGTTGCAACAATTGTTTTTGCAAGACCTTGTTTCCAACACAACTGTTTCAACAAACACAGTTGTTGCAACTAATGCTTGTCCGACATGGGCGCATAGAGCAACTGCGGCAACAATTTTGAACGTCACCTTGTGTATCATGACGCTTTACCTAAAGACGGTTTTACACACTACCTAACTTTGCTTCTGATCCTATGTTCAGTTTAACTTGTGTTGAAGTAACCTAGTTTATGACCAGAAGATGCGTGAACTGACTGAACAAGAATCTAAAGGAGGACAACCACAAACATGTTTCAGAAAATTGAATCAAATACCATTGAGTGGCAAAGGCTTAATGAGTCATGTGCGAAATTTGACAACATTACAAAATGAGCCCAGTTCTGGTAACATCCATCTAAAATGACCTGACTTCCCTTACATAAGCAGCCAGCACGTTTTTTTCGAGAGATTTGTTGCAGAAAGAAACAAAGAAAGAAAGAAGCAAAGAGTGAGTGAGAGAAAGGCCCAAAGAAAGGCACGGAAAACAGAAAAACAAGAGAGACTAAGCCATAATATTTCACACATACATCTCTGAATCTTTTGAAAACGCCAGTCAACAATGAAACATTTGTTTTCGCAAAATCGTGATGTTCTCTCTTGTTTTACAGTTAAGATGTGTCCATGCAATTATGCTTTTCCTAGTATTCATCGCTAATTTTATCCTCGTCCAATTGACTGTGAAGCGCCTCTGTGAGAGTATCGATGCAAGGGTATCAACAATAAAAAGCGAAAGTTGCCTCTTCTGCTTCGCCTACGCATCTTCGATTTCTCATCTCAGTTGACGCGCAAATCCTCTTCGTTTGTCAACTTACAAACCTCTGCCAACACCTGCTACGCATCTTCCGTCTCTCATCTCAACTCATCTGCAAATCCCCTCCGTGCACAACTTGTGACCAATACCAAATAAAGCATCTGCTCACATCTTTTACGCCCTGACCAATGCCACGCTGTCTGCCAAAACAGCAAATTTCCCTGAACACAACCTGTGCTGCGCAAAACCTACTAAGACGCATGCGACCCGATGGTGTTTACAGTGTCTTTCCAATATCCAAGGGTTGTCGTGGATTTCTGAAATTCGTTTTTGTTTTGAATTTAATTGTCCAATTTCCACATGATGAACTATCACTTGCATTTACCGCACGCAATTCCAAAATAATGACAGGGTGCGCAGCCAAACGCTGAAAGGAGACGCTCTTCGGCACTTTGGAGCGCTTTCGGATCTAACATTCAAGATTCCCAGGACTACGGTTCTTGAATCTTGAGCCCAGCGTGGGGCCCCCAGGACGGTTTACACCGCTTTCAGGCATGTCTCGAGATTGAAGATTCGAGATCCTGAATCTTGTTTCCAGTGTGGGGCTAAAGCGCTTGCATCCGGGTAGCGCAATGCGTTCAAGCTTCAAGAACAAGAGTCCTGGGATAGTTCCTGGGTGTCGTGCTTTGCGGGCTTGAGCGTTTTAGGGCTGCCAGGCTGGGTATCTTGAATCTTCTATCTTGAAACAACATGTGCTTCAAAGAGCTTCCAAAAGTTTTTGGTGGATAGAGGTGCAGTCACATGTACCGTCAAATTCATTAGGGGTGTGTTTTTTGGGGGGAGGGGTACACTTCTTACTTTCTTTTTGTTTTTTTGTCTTTCTTTCTTTCTTTCTTTCTTTCTTTCGTTCTTTCGTTCTTTCGTTCGTTCTTTCGGTTCTTTCGTTCGTTCCTTCTTGCTCGGAAATATAGAAAAGCCTGAACGTCTGCAACAAGATTTCGGCAAGGGGTCCTGCGGGAAGATAGAAAAGTTTGGTGGAAACGATCCCTCGTAGACTACCGTAGTCTTTCGAGTTTCCCAAAGAAAGTTTCTGCCAAACGCGGGGCGAATCCAGAACCAACCCTGTGCAGAAATGTCTCGTCCCGGAAATTTTGCGCTTCCGAAAAGCAAAGCGCAACGTACGGGCCCAAAGCTTTCCAGACCTTCCGCGACCGGAGAGTTTCTATCTTTGCGCTGGGCCGCCAAGAAAATTAGACATAAAGCATTGGTAACGCTAATTTTAGTACTGGCAACACTAAATTCAAGACTAGCAAAACTAGACATATCTCTGCCATACTAAATTACTCCTGGCAATCTGAGTTTTGTGCTGCGGTGCTAGATTTAGCACTGCCATTACCAAATTTAGTATTGGCAAGAAAGTAGTGTGACTTTTCCCGGGCCATGAGCCGTAGCAAACGTTTCTACCTTTCTCGGCCTGACAATCACAGGGCTTGCGCAAAGGTAGAAACTTGTTTGATCCTTCCCTAATATCGAAGCTCTGTCCGAAACTGTTCTATTCTTGTGCGGAACCCGGACGTCTGGAATGGGTTGATTGTGGATAAAGGGTTGATTGTGGAGTCGCAGGGCTACCCCTTTTCTTGAAGCCCAACAAACAGGGTGCAATAACAGGCCAATTCCTCACAAAAAGGAACACTGGCAGTGGTAAATTAAGCACTGGCAATGCTCAATTTAGCGCTGCCAATCTCAGGTTTCGTGCTGGGAATACTGCTGGCAGAATTAAAGCTAGTACTCGCAACAGTAAGTGAGTATTGGCAGTACCAGATGTAGTCCTGACTAAAAGTTGCACTAATTGCTAAGGAAGCTCCTCCAAAAGGTTCAATCTTTGCGCAAGCCTGTGTATGGCCGGGCATCCGCAAAGATAAAAACTTTGGAGTTTACGCAGGGGGTGAAAACGAGTCCTCCGAGTATTAAATTTAGTGCAGCCAGCGCAAATTCTTGATAGCTAACAACAAAGAAGCACTGCCAGCAGTAAATTTGGTAGTGCCAGTGCTTGATTTGGTATCGCCAGTGGTAAACTTAGTCTACTAATATGAATATAAGCAGTAAAAGTTTTTAATATTGCCACTACTAAATCTGGCACTGTTAAGTGTTCAACGTCCTTCCTAAAACAAGAGTTTTAGAATGATGTTTGACGTCGAGAACGGGGGACCGCGCTGCCAGAGCACAAGGGTAATTCATACTAATTGCTTATGGAAGCCCCTTGGTGCACCCTCGCGCGGCTGGCGGCTGCTACTGCGGGCAACTGTAGTCATTCTCATGTTCGCGCAAGTTTTTGACGTTGCATCCATAGGCACGAGGCTTGAGTAACTGAGCCGTTTTAACCATGAGGTTGCGTGCAGGGGACATGTCGCCTGAATCGATATGTCCGCCGAGTTGGCTCAAGTTACATGCGCGCCTCGGATGTCAGCGCTGCCAGGAAAAGCAGCAGCCGCGGGTGTGCCAGAATGTTGGGACACGGGTCAGACGTGGAAACTGAGCTAGGACTAGCATGTCTCACAAGTACTGGGAATACTGAATGTCGCTCTGCCAACGTCCTATCAAGCACTGGCAATTCCAAGTTTAGTACTTGCAATACCAAATTTAGTACCGGCTATACAAAAATTACACCAGCATAGAACGATTGTACGCCAGCACCTCTGACAGCGCTGACCTAAGAGCACCGCGACCAACACCAAACAGCCCAAAAATATTGCCGCGGCTGCAGAATCCCCAAATTGCACGCCCCTAGCACCCTGCCGTCAATCTCGCAAAAACACACCTGGCCAACGCCAGGCCCCCAAAAACAGCACCTGCGCCAGCTGGCAACCTCGCAAAACGCCACCCGTCACCAGCCCCTCAACACCATCCCCACCACCCCGAACAGCGCCCGGAAACAGCGCTCCCAAACCACCCGGCAGTCTATGCAGCCGCGCCATCACCAGCACCTCCTAAGATTGATACTGGCGACACTAAATTTAAACTTCGGAGGACTTGTTTTTGCCGCCCGCGCGCAAAACCAAAGTTTGATCCAACTCACGAACTTCTCATTCTGCTTCCGGCTGAAGAAGATCGTGTTGTCGTACTTCCCAACATGATGCGCGTTGTGAATCTTCTCCGCGGTCTGAAAGACCCTGAGCGCCAAAGCGCCGTCCACAGCGCCTTGCCCGGAAAGACTGAGCGCAGCGGAATTAAGCCTTGAAAGGTGATCAGCTCGCAACGATCCCGCGAGGTTCGATTCCCTGCGAATGTCGCTAAGCGCCTGACGCAAACGCGACAAAGCGTCCGTGATCAAACCAGAACCCTGCCCGCGAGCGTCATGCCGCACGCCGCTCCGCACTGGCCGCCCTTGGTTGCTTATTCCCACTCCCGGCGCCTTCTGGTCACCTCATCAAGGAGGGGGGCCAACTGGAGGGTTTTCCAGCGTGAGGCGGGTACTGGACACCTGCTTTCTTAGCAGCAACACGGATCTCCTCATCGCACTTGACA